CATTCCCATAAGTTGGTGTTTGTATAAATTTATAAAAAAATTATGTTTAAAGATATATATATATATATATATATATATAAAATATATAAAATTTTAAATAGGTAATGATATTTATTCTTCAATTTGGAGCACAATATGCACCCGTCAGGAATGGCTCTGATACCTAGTAATTATAAATGAACTTACTGTATTGTTATATTTCTGATGTCATCTGCAACTTTATCTATTATGGATCTAACAGTACTTTTTGATAACCGAAAACGTTGCAAGAATTGAGTGTCGTTCCAAATCCGAAAATTATCAGGTCTCTGTTTGTAAGTTTTGGGTAACCTGGGTATATGTACGATGGTAATTAATTCTAAGAAGTCCTCGTCATCAGTTATCTCTTCGGGAATGTCCATTTTTAAACTTGACACACAACTCCTTCGCTAAACTTTGCTACGATATTTATGTTACTCACATTGAACTGAGTTTAACCGAGGGACATCGACCGGTCAGGTTCTATGCCTACTTGAACTGGGTTCAAGCCTTGAGCTTTATTTGTACAACTGATTTTCAACTTTGAACTTAGTTCAATCTGAACAGCGGTTTAAACTGGAGTTGAACAACCGGCCCCTAGAAAAACGGTTAAACAGCACTTGTTATAGTATTAGGATATTAAGTAGGTACCTAGACCTTAAGACCCTAAAAATTGTTTACCTTGCCAACTTTGATTCCATTGCATGTTTTGGTATAATTTTCTACGGACACAGTAGCTAGGTAAACAGGCTCTTTCGGGTACAGAAACGAGCATTGTTAAAAGTTCCGCGTAGAGAAACATATAGAGGAAAATTTAAAGGGAATAAAATACTCACCATAGTGGCAATATATATTCAAGAAATATTGATTTTTACATTTAAAAATATTGGGTACTTTATAGGAATCCCAGGCAATTACAATACAAGGAACATAGATATAACTCTTTTGTATCCAATTCATCATCCAGCTGTTACGTACATTACAGTTGTGCAGAGCTTTACAATAAGTTACCCCAGGAAGTTAAAAAGTTGTCGAATATAAAAGAGTTCAAGAAATGTACTCACAAGTTACTAATGAATCTAGAGGCATATGGTCGCGATGAATATCTAGAAATGTGAAACAAACATTGTGTAATATCGTAATATTTACACTATTTTTGTTTGCTATTATGGCATTATGTGACGTATATTTCACCTGACAGCGGACATTACGTTGTAATAGGCTATTTGACAGTATTGAAAATAAGTTGCGAATTGTGGTGATCCTATTAGATAATAGAATAAGAAAACACATAGTACTTTAATGTACACCTAAATATGTATATTTTTTGAGAAACAATCAAATAAAAATCAGCTATTTTTAAAAATTCGATGGGTCACAGAAACGCCCTGCGATTGGCTGCGATGGTGACGTCACATGCAAGTAAACAAACATCGCGTTGTATGTTTTTGCTGGCTTTCTGTGAGATATTCTATCATAATTCTATTTCGTAAACAGATTTTTATTACTTTCTTGATCAATCTTTCAACTATTGACATCATTATTCGTTGTGGACTTCAAAATGGACCTAAATTTTGTGCAAGCTGATAACAGCAATCTACCTAAGGTTGACGCATTAATGGTAGCATTTTTCTTCAAAAATAATGCGGACTACTATGCTGCGGAACTCAAACATGTGAAAACAACAATGTACGTAGCAGCGGCGGTTCCACTGTAGGAGCACATGAGCACGTGCACCCCCAAAATAAATAATAATAAATATGTATAAAGTAGCCCACACATTGTGAGATCTTCCTCGCGACATGCCGCGAGACCAAGATCTCTGATAACAAATCTCATGGTGTGTGTTGCGGTATCGATAATTTTTGTATCGTGTGATACCGTCTCAACGAGACCGACGCGGGCGGGAGACTGAGACTTGCCGCGAGGAAAAATCTGACCAGTCTCAACGTGTGTGCCAAAGTCGCATGAATCTCGTGAGATTTCGTTGTTCCGAAATTGTTATAATTATTATATGTAATAAAGAAGATGAATAAGGAAAGAGAATTTTGGGAAGAATTTATTGAAATGTACAGGAGCAACCCATGTTTATGGGATGTGAAAGCTAAAACGTATATGGATAGAAATTTGAAAAACTCAGCGTTAGATAGACTGGTGGAAAAATGCAAAGAAATATATCCAATGGCAAATAGAGATTATGTCTCAAAAAAATACATAACATGCGCTGTGCTTTTAGAAGAGAGCTGAAAAAAGTACAGAAGTCGAAGCCTACGGGTACACAAGCTGATGATGTATATGTACCCAGCCTTTGGTATTTTGACCTGTTAAGTTTTATTTCGGACACTGAAATCCCTAGAAAAGGAATTGAAACTATTACTAGCGAAGACGAAAGTCAAGAGAGTGAAATAACAGTAAGTAGTTTATTATTTTATTTAAGACATTTCAGTATAAAAACTTAATACTCTTTAAACGACCATCCTGTCCTGAAAATCGGTTGCTCCGCTGTTATTGAAATAATTTTTAAAATTATCTCGAATTTCTCTCGCAGACACATTTGAAGCACGCGCTATTCGTTGCAGAGGTATAAGTTCTCCTATTTCTCTCCACTGGCCAGGTATTATTTCTCCGGAATGTACGTCTTCAGAGTCTGCATACAATGGCGGTATATATCGATTTGAGCCATTTCGTGTTAAAAAGTTGTGTAATGCACAACTGGCTAATACTACAGCATCCACATGTCTTACATTTATGCTAATTATTGTGTGAAAAATTCTAAATCGTGAGGCCATAATACCAAATGCATTTTCTGATACTCTGCGTGCTCTACTGAGTCGGTAGTTAAACATTTTTTGTTCTCTTGTTAAATTTTTGTCTGGATATGGTTTCATTAAATTTTCAGTTAATGGAAAAGCCTGATCTCCAACAAATGTATATGGTAACATCACATTGGTTGCATGGGGTTCTGTCGGATCGGGCATACATAATTTTTTATTTATAAGCTTTTCATAAAACTTGGTTTCACTCAAAACTCCACCATCTGATACCCTACCATTGGTCCCACAATGAACCATTATAAATTCGTATTTTGCATTTGCAATTGCCATTAGCACAACACTAAAGTTTCCTTTATAATTATAATAATATGAACCACTGTTTCTAGGTTTTTTTATTTGTATGTGTTTTCCATCGATCGCACCCACGCAATTGGGAAATTGCCACAAACATTCGAACTCCTTTGCAACCCCGCGCCATTCTTCCTCGGAAGATGGAAACTGTAATAAAAAAGTAGTATTAAATTGTTTGAATTAATAATAATTATTTGTTTTAGAATCAAAACAATGTTCGAGATGAGGACAGTTATGATAACGCTTTTTCTCCTCCTGCTCACTCGGAATCTTTACCAAGTACTACTAGGCCAAGTTCATCGGCTTCAACATCAACTCCAACACTAGGAACTAAAATATTAAAAAGAAAAAAGGAATGGAGGAGAAAAAAAATGAACTTGTGGAACTAGCTCATAGGGCTTTGTCTAAACCCCCTACATGTGCGGAACCTGAAAATCCCTGCGACATAGCAGGAAAAAAATTTGCTTCTGATTTAAATGACATCTAATCAGAGAGTAATTGCAGAAAAGCTTATAAATGATGTAATGTACTACGGCAAACTGAATAAGTTAAATGAAAACTTTGAAGTACGACAGGCCCGCACCCATGTGGAACCGAGTAATACTTTTTCCAATATAGCTTATACAGTACAGCAATCTGAGCAGCAACCTCAACAACCAACTGCACAGGGAGATATTTATTCATATTATGAAAACTTCCAAGACTAGTTCTGCCACTGGAATATTACGTTAACTGTATTACTACTCGTTTACTGAATTATAAGTATTTTTTGACAGCATTAGCTAAGTTTAATGTTTAATATGTTTTGCATTTAAAATAATAAAAAGTATATTATAAAAACGTACCTTCAAATACTTTTCCTTTAAAGCGTTGTATATTGCCCAGCAAGTTTCTGGAATAATTTCACCCAGTAACTGTGGAGAAATAGCACAGGAAAATTTCAGATCTTCATAATTTCGACCAGTAGCTAAATATCTAAGAGTAACGACCAATCGCTCTTCAGCTGATACCGCTTCTCTTAATACAGTATTTTTCTTTTCAATGTCTGGCCGGATTAAATTTAAAAGAAAATTAAATTGTTTTTCGTTCATACGCAAATAGTTCAAAAAATCTTTGGGTTCTTTTTGCTGCAATTCTTTTAAAAGTGGCATGTGAGAGAACTTCTTCCTTTCAAGAAACCAATTCTTTGACCATTTTCTTTTTTCCTGTTTTTCCTCGAATAGTACCAAACCAATGGCAACACCAAGTGCAACTTTTTGTTTTTTTGAATATTCATGAAAGGCCATTTTATATTCACTCTCAAAAAAATAGCGAACTGTGTGATACCGTCTGCGATACTGTCTCAAGGTGTGGGGTGACGAGTGACTGGGGACTGACGTCTGCCGATATCATGAGACCTCGCCTCGCGACGTACCTCGAGGCAAGTCTCACAGTGTGTGGCTTACTTAACATCCATTTAATAATTTCTCAAATAAAGTCTGAGCCTCCCTGATATTTAATCCTATAAAATCAAAGATCTAGTAGCTCTCCACTGGTGAGTCACCACTCTTCCCGCTGCGCTGCCTGATTCGGGCGATTCCGACTTGTGATTTGGTCTGGCCCGATCCGACTGCCGCCGACGGGTGACGGCGGATGACGACGAATAGTCGCATATGCGATCATGTACGCGGGATTAGTGTGTTTCTCACCAAGCTGTTCTGGTTGCGGGGTATAGCGGGGTTATGGCAATTTTAGTTGGAGAAGGAGCACACTTCTGGAGTGCGCCATTGTCCGTTGCGCGTGCATTTTATGCAGTAATCGGAGGTGTGTTCGAATTTTTATGTTCGTAGCAGTGTTTTACTAAAATATTGAGTTAAAATGAATGGTTTCACTGTGGAATATTTGAAACATAACTTCAGTTCATTGAGTTTGGAGCAAAAAATTGAAATAAAAAATGCGGGAAGACCTACACCAGAAATTAACTTAACTCAGACCACAAAGGGTAAATCTAGAGACTTTATTAGAAAGTTTAAAATGGAAATATATGAAAAGAATAACTGGATTTGTGGATGCAGCACAACAAACCGTTTGTTTTGTTTTTCCTGTTTGTTGTTTGGTCACGGGGTTGCAGAGCCTGCCTGGACAAAAAATGGAATAGCCGACTTAGGACATTTAGCACAAAAAATTAAGAAACATGAAAACACTCAAGTCCATATCAATGCGCAACTGGAAATGCAGCTTTTGGGAAAAGTAGATATACGGCAGCAGTTGGACAGTGCATATAGGCGCAGTATTCAACAGCAAAATGAACAAGTTAGAAAGAATAGGTATGTGCTTTCAAAAATTATTGATTGCATAAAATTTTGCGGAGCTTTTGAATTAGCCCTCCGCGGTCACGACGAAAAAGATGGTTCATCAAATCCTGGTATTTTTAGAGGTTTAATAAATTTCACTGCCGAATTAGATATAGCACTTAAAGATCATTTTGAAAAATCGACAGTATTCAAAGGGGTATCAAAAATCATTCAAAACGAATTGTTAGATTGCATGTTACAAGTGGCTCAGGAAAATATAAGGAAAGAAATTTTGGAAGCTGAATTTGTTGCTGTTATGGCTGACGAAACAACGGATGTAGCTAATTGTTATCAAATGACTACAGTATTTAGGTACATTCTACCAGATGGAAGGCCAGTTGAACGTTTTTGGAATTTTGTTACCCCCCCTGACCACGATGCAGTTAGTCTCTCAGAATGTGTGAGAACTAATTTAATACAAGTGCTAGACAAACCAGAGAAACTGATAGCTCAAAGTTATGACGGCGCTAGTGTAATGAGTGGACGTCGTGGAGGTGTTCAAGCTCTTATCCAACGCGATTATATTTATGCTTATTTCATTCATTGTTATGCCCACCAGCTAAATTTGATTTTATTGCAAGCTACAAGCCAAAATCAAGAAGTACGGGTATTTTTTTCAAATTTAAGCGATATTTCAACTTTTTTTTCTCATTCTCCACAACGAGTTGCAGTTTTGGATGACATTGTTGGTGCAAGAGTTCCTAGGTCTTCTGTTACAAGATGGAATTTTAAAAGCAGATCTATAAATACAGTATATGAATATCGCGAATTGTTAATAGAATGCATGGAAAAAATAGAAGCTACTTCAAAACAAACTGTTACCATCAATCAAGCCACTGGTATTGGCCGTATGCTACAAGATTCTAAGTTTGTGTTCTGGCTAACTGTATTTCATCGAATATTGCCACATGCTGATATTTTATATAATCAGTTACAAAAAACAGTGACTGACCCAGTGCAAATTCAGACTGCCATAAAGTGTTTTGAAAACTGCATCCAAAAAGAGAGAGACTGCTTGGAAACAATTGAAACTGAAATTTCTGAAGATACCACTACTACTCAAACTAAAAAGCGTCGTGCAAATGAAGACCAGCATATTTGCAGAGCTGTTGCAGCCAAGGAAGTTTGTGATACCATAATTACACATGTAACAGATAGATTTTCTTTTACAAACATTTAAATGCAGCTATTCTTCTTTCTTCTGACAAATTTCCACAATTTGAAAAGCATTTTCCATTGCAATATTTGGAAACTGTAGTAGAAGCATATTCGTTTTTAGATAAAGTTCGTCTCCAGACTGAATTGGAATTAATTTACCGGCGACCTGACTTCAGGAATATGACTGGTGCCATTAGTTTGTTACAGTTTTTATAGAAAATAATCTTCAGAGCATATTTTCTGCCACCTTTACACTTTTACAAATAATTGTTACCATACCAATGACTACGGCCGAAAGTGAAAGATGCTTTTCGACATTGAAGAGAATAAAAACATTTTTGCGAAGTTCTATGAATGAAGAAAGACTGTCAGCGCTAGCAATGCTATCTATCGAGAAAAAATGTATAGCGGGTATTCCAAACTTTAACGAGTTAGTTATTGATAAATTTTCTGCAAATAAAATCAGGAGAATGGACTTTACGTTTAAACACTGTACTCATTAAAAAAATTGTATTTTTTATAAATGTATTTTCTTGTGTATAATAAAAAAAAATAACAAAAAATGTGTCCTTGATGATTGTTTTAGTACTCTTATTGCCTTCTACGTCACGCATTACATAAAAATTTGGTGGTGGTAAAAAAATTATTTTATACCACTTGTGAACCCCCTGTATCATAGACCACGAGCCGCCGCTGGTACGTAGTAATAGAAAGTATTTATTTATACCTACTAACCTTTATGTATGATCATTAAAAGATTTGTAAAATCAATCTTATTTTAGGTTATGTTGATGTAGGTAATGAAAAAAGCTTTCAGTTCAATATGATAATATGGTTCATATATGGTTTCATGAATAAAACATACTTTCATGTTTTGCTTTTGTTTTACAGGTTTGGAAGGGAGTCCTACGGAGACGATGCAATTGGCTATGTGCAGCTGCACCGGGAGCATGGACTTTGCACACTTAAGTGCAAAATGTGCCCAGAGCACAAAGTGAGATCAAAAGCGTAATGTGACAATGGTTATCAACGAAAATGAAAGCGAGATAATAAGTTGTCAGTGCCATGACTGTGCTGCTTCAGCAGGAGGATGCAAGCATGCAGTCGCTTTTTTGATTTGGGTACATCGGCGCAGTGAGGAACCTCCATCTACTTCGGTGGAATGTTATTGGAAAAAGCCAACATTGTCAAGAGTAGGGACTACTCTGAAGTACATCACTGTGCAGCAGATGTCGAAAAAGGAAGTACCACACAGACCAAGTACATCAGCACTTTACACAGACTTTATTTTGGAAGCCAAAAAAAGAAAACTTCAACACTGCGAATTGATAAAATATCAGGACGATTTTAAACACTCAAATGTTATGCGGTATTCGCTGCACTGTTTCATAATGGACCAACCACCAAAAATTCAATCAGACGTAGACAATCTTGTAGACATAATGAAGACAACATTCAACAGAGCTGCTATCAGTGCAATTGAAGAAGCAACAAGAATGCAGTACAAGAGCAGCTTGTGGTATGAGATGAGGTATGGCCGTATCACAGCTTCAAAGGCACATGAAGTGAGCGTATGTCATACACCTGATGGTTCATTGGTTGCTACTATAATGGGCGCAAAAATACCAGATACTATTGCAATGAAAAGAGGTAGAAGTTTGGAGCTATCGGTCCGGAAGACAGTTAGTACAACATTGAACAAAAAAATCAGAACATGTGGACTTTATGTATGCCAAGACAATCCCATGCTTGCAGCATCTCCTGATGGTTTATTGAAAGATGCCACTGTTGAAATAAAATGCCCTACCAAAGCAAAAGCTAAGAACAATTATTTAAAAAATGGAATTATTTCAGAGAAATGTAAGGCACAGGTTCAATTACAGATGCATGCAACTGGTATGAAAAGATGTTATTTTTGTGTTGCTGATAGCAACTTTGAAGAAACAAAAAATGTAGATATTATTCTAGTGAAGTACGAAGATGATTATGTCAACAACTTAATAAAAAACTTGTATATTTTTTGGAAAAAAATATATCCTATTTTGTATCGTAGCACTAGTCTGTGATTATCAAATAAAAAACTATGCAGTGCATATTTCTTGTTTTATTATTATTTTATTCATGGTTTTACATCATTTATTTCTTTATTTATAGTAGTAGTAGTAGAAGTATTTATTCAGCCAAGTACAAAACACAAGTTCAAATGGTATGTCACAAAAGAGGAGATTACATTATAATAATTAAGTATAAAGTATCATAACAGGCAAAAACCCATTATTTAATAAGAGAATCTTGCAAATTTATTAGAGCACATGCAATTATAATGACATGATCAAGTACACGACGTATGTTAGTATTTATCACTGAATGTTGCTTTAAAATATGAAATTCTCTCAAACGCCTTATTACCCTTTCAATATGAATCCACAAACTAGCTATTATTTTAGTTTGTCGAACTTCAGTTTTTGACAACTTTGCACCAGCATTTACACTGGGTGGCCTTAATAGTTTTAGTCCCTTTTCATGAAGTATTTGTTCAAGGTGTTTGAAGCCTCTGTCAGCTAAGCAACAGGATCCTTGGGTAATCCATCTAGAAAGTTACAATTTTCTACTGTTGTGGCATCGCTGGTTCTGCCCCCAAACCCATGCGAAACATAATTAACTAAACCATTAGGTGTGCAGGATACTAAATACTTCACAGTATTCCCCTTTTTGTACTCTGACCACGTCAATGACTGATGAAGAGCCTTTGATGGTTTTTGTATATCAATCTCTAAACAATCTATGATGCAACTGACATTATGATAGTTATGTCTAAATGAAATAGGAAGATTTTTTTTTACCAATTTTTTATCTATATTTACAATGAATGGTCTTAAAACACTAGCTATTATTGGTATATTTTGTAGAAACAATTTACTAGCATAAGATAATGATATTCCAAAATTATCCTCCAGTCAGAAAATGTACTGTTCATTCTAATCTTTTTCAAGCATAGCAAAATGTGTTCTACTTTTATGCTTGTGTGTTTATGTAACAATTTGATTAAGAAATAACATTCTTTTGGAATACCAACATACATCATGGTTTTTAGAGATTGAACGCATAGTAATTTTGAGGCACTCTAATTTTTCAATATTCTCATTGGCATCTGTAACATTACTATCAGAGTCGGTAAGCCCTGATGATGATGATGCTGATTTAGTTACAAAGGTGATAAATATCGACCACTTTCAATACAGAAATATCACTATCTGACTTTTCATCTTCAAGAAAAACATTTCTCTTGACTGCTTTGACAATTTCAGACTGTGATGGTCGAGACTGCATGGTTTAATCTTAAAGGGCGAAGTGGAACGAGATGTTGTAGAAACTTCATTGGTGAGGTAGAAATACTTGTAGTCTGGCATCTTGTTTGCACAGATTTGCTCCTATGATGCACATTCTCTTTTATTGTTACTTGCACAGATTTTTCTGCAGTTATGATAGAGTTGGTAATAGTTTCTCTGTCTTGAGTTCTTGATAAATCTGAAAGAACAAAGACTCAAAATTAATGTCTTAATTTCAACGTAAATGATTATGTTAAGGCACTATGAAAGTTGTCTACTACTTCCTACTACCATTATCACTGAAGAAAAAGTGCAGTGCTGGATAAGGGGTAGTGAATCACAACATCACAGCTGAGAGAAAATTACCCATTACCTGAAGTACAAGTTGAGCATTCTTGATCACCTAGCAAGTAAAATGTCCCACTAAAATGACCTATCACTTTGAATATATCAATTTTAAACCATAAATATTATTCTGTGAAAATCTCAATGTGCTACAAATATGTTATTCAGTTCTGCCCTTTTTATTCAGAAATAATGGAAGTAGTAGAAAAGTTTTATAAGGCCTCAATAGGTTACAAAATGTCTATCAGCTCTCAGACTATAATTTATGATAGGACACATGTAATAGATTACATACCTTGAGGTTCAATAATGTCTTGTATCAAACTCTCATCTTTTTGTAAGCTTTCAGCTTGGGCTTCAGTAGCATTTTGACTTTGCAAACATGTGTTGACCAAATCCATTCTTTTCCTCTTGACATATGCTCCTCGAGAAAGTCCAGCATCAGACAGTGGTCTTTTACGATCTTCTTGACAATGAAATTTTGTTGGCACAACATCTTCTGTCAAAAGTATCTTCTTGCTGAAATCCATTTTGTACTGCATGTAGTTAATGGTGTCTTTTTCCATCTGCAATTCAACATAACTATCACTATCTAATAAGCAAAGTAGGTAAAATGACACAGCATAGAAAATTATTGAGATATGTAGGTAGCTAATATAATCAAAACAACAGAAAACATTTTGAAACCCTACAGAGTAATAAGTTTAGGGTTAATAAACAGGATCTTTGATCCTCAACACTGACTTATCCTCAACATAACCAAAGATACATTTGAGGTTATAGATAGTTATATATTATTTCAATCTTAAAAAAGCGGTAATTTAAGCTACCTAGTAGATAACATATTCAATTTATACTTACATCGAAGTGATCTTCACACATAAATACATTTGAAGTCGATGAAATGCCCTTTGGGTCTCTCCGAGCTAATAGTAACCACTTTTTTCGTCTTTTACAATCGGTTGGAACAGAAACAAACAATGTTTGTGGACTATTTATAGACGTATTCGTACATTTTGGCACTACACACCATTTATAGACCATTTTATCTATGATTTTATAGCAAAATCAAGCACAATAATGAAATTAACTTCGGCTGACAGCTCGTGATCGTGTTTACTGGCGTGTGACGTCACAGACGTCATCTGCCGGCGCCATCACAGGAATAGCGTTTTTGGCGCGGTTCTAAAAATTCAAACTTTAAATTTGATTTCTATTAAAAATAGTATAGATTTTCAGGAAATATTCATGTAGTGTGCTCATTATATAAAAGAATAATTTAAAATGATTTTGCAAAATTAGTCACAAATAGCCTATTGCGCACTGTTATTTTGAAATAAAGATTATTTATTATTATAATTATTATTGTTATATACCATACCATATTATGTTTCTTTATTATCACTCCGTTTTGGAATTTTACTCTACTGGACTGAGTGTATCAACATATGTCTAGCAAAAGTACTATTGGAGGTTGTTTTATAAGCGCAATGTGTACATTCAAGTATTTTGCTGGAAACGGATGCAATAAAGTCAGGATGTATCTTGATTATATGATCATTCAGTGTCGTTTTATTCCTGAATTTTGCCTTACAGTGAGTACAAAATACTGAATTTATAATTACTTGCTGTCTCTGGATGCTTTGGCATATGACTAAAAAAACTGCCCTTGTAAGTTTGTTT